AAGTTTTGTATGTTCTGTTCCTGAAACACACAGATTTAGCAAGTAGTCCTGCACACTTCAGTCCCACTATGTACATTGGGGCTGGGAAGTGATGCCAGCAGTCATTGAAGGTATTTTCTGTATGAAGTGTGTATGCATTTCTGTTTCATTTTTTCCTTTTTAAGAAAAAACCAGTAGAGTATACTGGAAAGAGAATAGTATCATGAATTAGATATGAATTTGAAATCTGCACCACAACTATAATATATTCTCTGGCAAGTTCAAACTACTGAGTCTTAGTTTTCTAATAAAATAGTGAGAGCAGACACCCTCTTCCTATTCCTAATTTTAGGGAAGAATATTTTGTTTCTTCCCATTGAGTATGATATCAGCTACAGGTTTCTCTTATACGGCTTTTATTATGTTGAGGTATGCTCCCTCTATTGCCACTTTGCTGCTTGCTTTTATCATTTATTGGTGATTGATTTTATCAAGGGCTTTTTCAGCATCCATTGATATCATCATGTAATTTTTGTTCTTCATTCTCTTATGTGCTATATTATGTTGCTAGCAATCTTAAGGAAGAAGAACAAAGAAGGGGGGATCACAAGACCTGATATCAAATTATACTACAAAGCCACTGAAATCAAAAGAGTCTGGTACTGGCGTAACAACAGACACATAGATTAATGGAACACAATAGAGAACCCAGAAATAAACTAAAGTCTCTTTGGTCAGTGAATATTTGATAAAGGGGGCATGAGAATATAACAAAGAAGTCCAATTCAATAAATTCGTTTGGGAGAAATGGACTAGTAAATACAAAAATAAAGAAAGTAGACCAATAACATACACCATACATCAGGCTTAAAATTAGAAAGCATAAGGATAAGTAATGGCATCATAAAGTCCTAAAGGAAAACATAGGAAGATTTCAGATATTCTGCATAGCAATATTTTTGCCAATACATCTCATAAGGCAGGGGAAATAAAAAAACATATAAACAAATTGGATTATATCAATCTCAAAAGCTTGTGCATGGGTAAAGAAACCATCATCAAAATGAAACAGCATGTAAAAAGGCCCATAGACAAAGACAATGGTGGAGGAAGATTCAATATGGCATGTGGGGGGTAGTACAGTAAGGGAGAGTAATGGGAAAATGGGGACAATTATAATTGAATGATAATAAAAAATGTTTAAAAATAAAATGGGACTAACTGTATGGGAAATCATGTTTACCAGTGATACATAGGACAAGGGTTTGATCTTCAAAATATAAAAACAAATCATACAACTGAACACCAGGGAGACAAATAATCCAATTTAAAAATGGGCAAAGGACCTGAACAGACACTTTTGCAAGGAGGACATACACATGGTCCATTGACATATGAAAAGATGCACAACATCACTAGTCATCAGGGAGATGCAAATTAAAATCACAATGAGATATCACCTCAGGCCAGTCAGAATGGCCATCATAAACAAATCAACAAACAACAAGTGCTGTTGAGGATGTAGAGAAAAGGGAACCTTAGTGTAATGTTGGTGGGAATGCAGACTGATTCAGCCAATGGAAAACAGTATGGAATTTCCTCAGAACACTAAAAATGGAACCACCTTTTGACCCCAGGATTCGGCTGCTGGGAATATACTGTAAGGATCTCAGGTCACCAGTTCAAGACAACTTATGCATCCCTATATTAACAGTGGTACTATTTAGACACCAAGTGCTGAACAAAGCCTAAGTCCCCATCAGTAAATGAGTGGATCAAAAAAATCATGGTACATTTAGGCAATGGAATACTATGCAGCAGAAAGAAGGAAGGAACTCCAATCGTTTTTGACAGCATGGATGGAACTGGAGAATATTATGCTGAGTGAAATAAGCTATCAGTGAAATGCAAATACCATATGATCTCACCTGTAAGAGGAATCTAATGAACACAATAAACTAATGAACAAAATAGGACCACAGGCATGGAAATGTGGAACAGATGGAAAGTGACCTAGGGGAGGTGATGTGGAGGTAATGATGGAAAGAAGGGAGGGAACTAGGAAAAAACATGTATGAAAGACCCATGGACATGGATGAGAGTGGGGAACTGACTGTGGATGTGGGGGAGGACTGGTGGAGGAGGGCTAAGGGGGGAAACTGAGACAACTGTAATAGAATAAAAATAAATAATTATCAAAAACTCACAATAGAAAGAAGTTAAAGTCTAAACAAATAATTTTAAGGTCTAATAATTTAATCACAATAAAGTTGAGTGTTGAGTTTGCCAGTGAACTGTTTGGATGAAGTCTATAGAGGTTGGAGAGAACAGAACGAAAATGAGAAATGAGTACTACAAAAAGAAAAAGAGCATAGAGCCAGAACATACAGTAAAAACATTCCTCTTTCATAGGCTACCTATGGCTATCCTTTTATTACTCACATTGTTTGATACTCTCTGTAAAGACTTGTTTTTATAGCAAAATCAGCTTTCCATTAACCATTTCTCCAGTCCAGAATTCAATAAAAAAATGTTCTAATGTGTCACACCCAAATGTTTTTTTTTCATTTCTTTTCATTTATTTTATATTATTTTTGTACAGATATCTGCCGTTGCCCCCTTCTTTTCCCCCCAACGCCAGCTGTCCCCACCTCCCCCTCCTGATTCCACCCCCTTGGTTTTGTCCAAATGTCCTTTATAGTTGTTTCTGAAAAACCTTTCCCACTTTTCCCCACATTATCCCCGCCCACCTCCCCTCTGGTTACTGTCCATTTGTTCTTAATTTCAATGTGTCTGGTTATATTTTGCTTGCTTCTTTGTTTTGTTGATTAGGTTCCACTTAAAGGTGAGATCATATAGTATTTGTCTTTTATTTCACTTACCATAATGCTCTCCAGATCCATGTATGTTTTTGAATAAATTAAATTCACCATTGAAATGTATTCTTTACTGTGTTTTAAAATTTTAAACTTTATTGTATTTTCGCATTACCATTTAGTCCCTTATATCAACCTTGCCCTGCCTGCAATCACCACACTGTTGTTCCTAAGTCCTTTTTCCTCTTTGCTCAGTCCCTCCACTTTCTAAACCCGTCACACCTGACTAGCTGTCATCTCCTCGCCATCTATGAGTCTGTCTCTGCTATGCTTGTTCATTCAGTTTGGTCAGAAAATTCCACACATGAGTGAAATCATATGGTATTTGTCTTTCCTTAACTGGCTTATTTTAATAGCATAATGTTCTCCAGATCCATCCAGGGTGTTGAAAAAAGTAAAATTTTCTTCTTCTTAATGGCTGGGAAGAATTTCATTTTGTAAATGTCCCATAGATGTTTTATCCACTCATCTACTGATGGACACGTGGGCTGCTTCCATATCTTGGCCACTGTAAATAATGCTACAGTGAACACAGCAGGGTTTATGTTCTTCTGAGTTCGGATATAATCCCAGAAGTGGAATCTCTGACTCAAAAGACAGATCCAAATTTAACTTTTTGGGGTGTCTTCACCCTGTTTCCCACAGAGCTGCATCAGTCTGCATCTACACCAACAGTGTAAAAGGTTACCCTTTGTCCACATCCTTGTTAGCACTTGTTTGTTGATTTATTCATCACAGGCATTCTGACAGGTGTGTGATGGTATCTCATTGTGGTTTTAATTTGCATTTCTCTGATGATTATTGATGTTGAGCATCTTTTCTTATGTCTATTGGACATCTGTATGTCCTGTTTCAAGAAGTTTCTATTCAAGTCCTTTGCACATTTTTAATTGGCTTCTTTTCTTTGGCATAGAGCTCTGTAAGTACTTTATAAATTTTGGTTGTTAACCTCTTTTCAGATGCATGGCAAATATGATCTCCCATTCTGTGAGTTGCCTTTTTATTTTGTTGATTTTTTTTTTTGCTTTCCAAACACATTTTAGTTTGATATAGTTCCATCTGCTTTTTTCCTTTTGTTTCCCTTGCTTAAGGAGATATATTTCATAAAAATTTTTGGCTAGCAATATCTAAGATTTTGGTGCCTGTGCCTCCTTCTAGGATTTTTGTGATTTGAGATCTAACATTTAATTTTTCATCCATTTTGAATTTATTCTTGAGTGGGATGTCAGAAGGTAATCTAGTTTCATTTTTCTGCACTTGTGTCCAATTTTCCCAACACCACCTATTGAATATACTATCCTTAGTCCACTTTAGATGTGCTTGCTTCCTCTCTTGATCATTAATTGACTATAAAGATGTGGGTTTACTTCTGGGATGTATGTCCCATTCATTTATGGTGTAAACAGGTGAAACTCTTTCGATCTTTCCTACTGAGCTAGGGCCAGTATATTTCAACTGCATTGTCATTGTCTACCCAGTACACCATGGGCTATGCTACATCAGACTTTAAGGAGGGAGATAACATATTTCTGTATTTTATACTTACAGTACTGAGTACAGGGGAAGGGAACCAAAACTCATCAAAACCTGAAGTTTTGTCAAACTATACCCTGTTTATGCTGAAATACATGGAAAAACAGACTGTAGAAAACTTTTGTGAAAAAATATTTCAAAGAATAAAACCACTGATTTAGATCTATTTTTAAGGAACCAGAGATTGAGTGCCTCTCATTCCAATACAATTTAAGTCCATAAAACTTTACTAATCAAACTCTCATTCAGATAAATATGTGGAGTCTGTTAGTGTTTATGTATTTTTGAGTAGCTAATATTAGAGTAGTTTGCAAGATGAATGTAAATTACTCATTAGGTGTAATTTCCTTTTGGAACACAAAACTTTAGTGTCTGCTATAGAGAATATATTTAGAATCTTACTCTTTGGTGGAGGTCATCAGTGGTAATAGTGGTCTTTTTTTGCTAAGGTTTCCTTTATATTCTGTGCAAAATTAGCATGGGCCTTTAAATTATGTTTCTCACTCATCTGTGTTGAAAAAAAAAGACAGAAAGGAACCAATGTCTCTGTGATAAAGGATGCAGATAGTGAAACCTGAGGCTTAAATGTGAACTATTCTCTCACATCTTCATGTGTAGCTGAGCAGCACTGAAGGCTTTTGGAAAACAAGGGCAGATAACATAGGGAGCCCAGAAGAATCACCTTCTTTGCCAGAACACGCACATCCAGCCCATCCACCTGCAGGGGCTCACCTCTTCTATTTGGACCAGACTCCACTGGAGTGAAAACTCTACTGCATTGACACAGGTATCGCCAACTATGTCTATAGCTGTGGCTCTCAGTGCATATCACTGTTATTACTGCCACCTGATTGCCTATACAGAGCATAGAGAATAGACTTTTTTAAAATAATCAATACGTTCAATCTCGTAAGCAAATGAGCTGAACCATTCAAGTTCAATAATTACTTTACAAGTGAATTGTCTCCTATACAGTTTTCTTAGCTTTACATGGAATATAACTGATAATTTCTTAGTATATCTGATGAATTAACCAAATGTATCAAGAGACTAAATGGTCATATGAATGATAAGATATGAGAAATTAAGTAAATATTTAATCAACTATTGATTTGGCATGTCTACGTAGTAAGATGGTTTTCTATTACACATCCACCTCTGAACTTTGCTAATTTATGTGATATATGTTCACATTACCCATGTATTGAAGACTTGGTAAAAAATTTTAAAGGCATTATACATTTATGTCTGTAAATCACTTTTTCTTATAAGGTGTTATCTTGGGATAAATGATCAAATGGCATAGTGAATATTATTAACACACAGAGGCCTATATATTTTAGTCACATCATAAAAGATAAAGGAAGCATAAGGCTGAAAAAATAAAACAAAGCACAGTGTATTTAAGCTGATGATACCCTGGGAAACTGGTGAGAATAAGAATGTAACATTTTTTCTGCAATAGAATTTTATTTTTAAACATTTCTTTGTTGATTACTGAGATAATATATAAAATACTTGAAACAAATTAATTAATTTTTTAACATTTGCAAGTAAACTTGTTATTTCAAGCAAGATTAGTTGGCTTTTGCCTATACCTTCAAACACTATTGACATAAAACCACTCACCACATGAGAGTACAGGCTCGGTCTACTAGTGTTCTAACTGTAAGACATTCATTTTTAATACCACATAGGAAGAGATGACAAAAATCTCTTCAAACATATAGAAATCAAACTTTCTTTGAGTCATTAATAAAAAATAAAGATAAACACAGAAAATATTAGGAGAAATCATGGCTATATTTGCTAATAACAACATGTAACATGATACAATTTCAAAATACAGATTACTCATAAAATTTTTCTTAGAAATTTTAAGGGTAGGGAAAATTGTTTAATGTTTTATATATATTTTATTGACCATTGCATTATTAACCTTTTACATTAAATTAAATATTATATTTGGATAAGTTCAGGTATAGTTGGTGAAATGATAATACCTAAGTAAGTAAAGAAAAATGGTAACCGATAATTTTGAGAAGGGGAAAGAAAATTATCTAAGGCAAAAATCTATCATGGAAAAGATATTGCAAAAGTAAAATCATTCATCAGTAGTTAAATTTTATGAAATACTGATTTTAATTATACATGGACAGCCTAGAAATGACAGAAATTGAAAACTAATTTTAAAAACTGTCAATTTGTATCTTTTAGTATTGTACCTCAAAGTTTTTCAGAGATGAATGAAAAAAATACAACATATGTAAATTTGAAATACCTTTCTTCCAAAAAGCACATGCAAAAAGAAAGTGAGTATTTTTCCCAATCCCTATTGAATTCTGTTATTATTTTCTCTTACTTGTTAAGTAATTTTGCTAAAGATTTTCTTCATAATTTAGCACATGGCACTTTATGTCTAACATGTTTTAAGGATTTAACCATTTAAAAGATTTGAGTGATGGACTTGACCTAGTTGGAAGAAAACAATTACATAGATATTTTTATTTGGAAAAAATTTTAGTCAACCACCCTCCCTGTTTGTGAAAATGGTGTAAATACAAAGCAATTACCACATCCCTCTTTTAATCTCCAGAGATAAAAGAGTCGATAATTTACTCAGGAGTGAACAAATCTACTTCGAACTTTAGTCAGACAAAGTTAACAAACAATAAATCACCTAAAGGAAAAGGTAAAATTTGTGTAGAGGACCCAGCTTACATGTCCTCTAATTGTGTACCTGTGTGAATATAATTCAACTAGCATTAGTCACAAACCACACTCGCTGTAACCCAGTTAACCACCCAGGCTCATAAGGATTTTTAAACCACATTTCATTTCTATACTCCTACAAAAAAAGCAGTGTCGAATATTAAATCCATATTCAGTATATTCCAGGGAATTAATGTAGTTTTGGTGCTGTGTACACATGTGCATAACTGAGCAAGTCATGTACGAAAATTATTTCTTTTCAACTTGTTTGGAAACAATTGTGAATCTCCAGATGTCACTCACTCAGTCTACAAAGTTGCAAGAAACAGTATTTGATGAACATTATTTGATACGTGTTTGTGATTTTAATTTCTCATGTGTAGTAGCTGAGGTTAATGCTAATATAGAATAACAGTAGAAAGTAAGGCTCCAAAGTGAGAAGAGTTCTTGTTTGAAAGCTATTGATATCACCAAAATAAACAATATCTTCTGATAGTGGATCAATAAAAGTGATGTATACAGATATACTTTAGAAGTGTATTTGCAGTTTTAACACCAAGTCTATATATCTAATATTCCACTTTGTATTCATAAATCATTTAGATGATACAGAGGATAATTTTGGTAAAGTTAGAATACATGACTTCCCCAGAGAAGAAAACAAACAGAAGAGGAATCAGAATGCAGGTACCCAATTCTCCATTCATTGTTGTTTCAAATTGTTCAGTACCACACTCAATTGACAATTTCAAGTTTGAAGACATTCAGGAGGTAGGGTATTGAATTTCATAAAAGTAGCCGTTTTAACTCTTTTTAATTCACTCTTGTCTTTGCTGAGTTACTCAATCTCACTTTTTTATCTCTGACCAGGATCTTCAGTTCCATTTACCTGGTGTCTCACTGTTGTGATCCTTGGAATCTTCTGTTTCTTTCTTCTTGTAACAACTGTAATTTTGGGACTCATGGGTAAGTTCAACCAGCCCTGTGCCCTGAACTGTGTAGCTTGTCCCTTAGGACTTACTTCTCTACTAGTATTTCTTTCCTACTAGTTCCATTGTTATGATCACCACTTCTATACAAGAAACCCTTCCACCTTCACCACTAAAGTGATCACTTGGCCAGTTCAAAATTCTTGAAAACTTCTCACTTCTTCTTTACTCACAAATACTGGGTCATATTCAGGATATCACCAGGAAAGCTCTGTTAAGGTGTTCGTGATGGTCAATCATGCTGTGTGCACATTAATTTTCACTCTCCTCTCTGATGCCTTCTTACAAGAAACTGTCAGCCTCCTTGGTTCACCATTGAATCTTCAGTCTGCAGCTCAAATTAACTTTGTGAATAGTTTATTCTTCTAAAGACCAACTACAACACAACACTATATTTACCCTATACTATTCAAATTGCCTCCTAAATTATGCTAAAGTCAACACACTTCAAAATACTCTTCTCCAAGTATCTCTGACCATCTATCAAAATGCCAAGAAATCACTAGAGATATTTCATTTCTACTGAATTATGTAAAAACTCCATTACTTATGTTTGCTTTCATAATTTTCATCTTTTTCAGTCAAATAATTTTAAGTTTAAATTCTCTTGTCCAAAGTAACTTCAAATAACTCTAGATCATTTGCTCTTATCCTTATGTTCTCTAAGTTTCTCTGTGGCAGCACATATGTCTGTATGCCGTTTCCTCTCATGTTAGTCACTGTGAGTGACTCAAAAATGAGTAACCAACAAGTCTTGCATTAAAAGCAGTGATAGTCATATACAGTGTATGTAATTCTCTGTGTATATTTTTTTAAAAGCACCATCGTATATCATGGCCTTGACTCTTAGGTTTCTGGTTTGCAAATTAAACTCTTTCATTTGTGTGTGTGTGTGTGTGAAATTCATTGACATGTAAATCACCTGTACAATTCACCTATTTACAGGGTAATATTCAATGGATTTTAATATATTCAGATAGTAAAATCATAACTGTAATCAATATAGAACATTTTTATTCACCCAAAAAGCAACCCTATGTTCATTAGCACTTGTTTCCCATTTCCTTTCAAATTAGGCAGCATGAAACAATCACTAATCTACCTTCTATCTCCATTGATTTTCCTATTCTGAATATCTCATAAAATGCAATCATGTAATACGTTATCTTTTCAGCCTGGGTTATTGCAATTAATGTAATGTTTCCAAGGTTCCTGGATGATAGAATGTATCAGTATGCCCTACATTAAACATTCAAAAACATTCTATGTTATGGTGTGGATATAATATTATGTACATTATTCTTATCAGACAATAGATTTTCAAAGATTTTCTCCCATCCTTTTGGTTATCTTTTAACTATCTTGATGTTAACTTTCAATGCACCAAAGTTTGTAAATGTGAAGCCTTGCTGGTGTGTCACACTATTCTAGAGCTCACATTGTCAGCCAATCTCTGCTGGGTTCAGCAGCAAGATTGAATTACTTGTGCCACCAGACATATATTACCCTACAAGTCTTCCCATCACAGTGAGTGAGTTTCTTCAACCCCAGAACCTTAGCATGTTTTTTTGTTGTATCCAAGATCCACCAAGGTGTTCTATCATTACCTTATGATTTTTGAATAAATGATATATGAATGAGAAAATCATATGCAGAGAAGAGATGTCTAAAGGGGACAGAAGTAAAAATGGTCCTCACTCCTGAACATGAACTAACATATTAAAATTAAAACTATACTTATTATTTAATCCCATATAATGTTCTCCTTGAGCTAATGATGTCCAGTAAAGTTTTCCAGGGTCATCAGGAATGCCAGCCACAGAAACCACCACTGGACAATGTTACACAGGAAGACAATTCCATGTTCAAAATCATAACTTTCACAGAGGAACCACTTCACACAGGTATGCAGATAAATAACTTGAAGACCGAGACCAATAAGTCCCTTCTCTGCTTCCGTCAGTCACCTGATGTCCTGTTCAAATTGAATATTTATGCATAAATAATTGCAGGATCCAAATTTAATTTTTACTTAATTGAACAAGAAAAAATCTGCTTTTCCCAAAGATTATATTTTATTGTTTGTACAATATTTTGTTTTTTCAAGTTAGTTACCAGTTCTCAATATAATACTTTTTTTTACAGAAAAACAAGTAAACAAATAAAAAAACAAAGTCTCATTATCAGATTTTCTATTCATTATTATATCTCTTAATATGTGTATGCAGTCAGGGAATAAGTTCAGACTGTCTCTGTTCTGTACTTATAGATTTTACTCAGTCTAAAGAATTCAAAGAAGTCGCTTCTCATTATTAAGTTATTTTTGTTGAAGTTGTAAGGAAAATGTCAATCTTCTTAGAAGTTCTTCTTAGATAAATTTTTAAATATTATGCATTGAATTAGTGAAAAAATTAGTAATATAACTCTTCCCAGACCAGAAATTTTATTTAGAAAGCTGAAGTGAATCCCATCAATTTCATTAAATAAAAGTTTTTAGGACTAGGAAGAATTTTTCAGTGTCTTATCCTCAGACATCCCTTTCAGCATACACACTGAGTGGTCCAAGAAATATCACAGCTTCTCAAACAAGTAAGAACAGCACATGTGAGAAGAAACAATCATGCAGTGGAGAGAAGTGTTATTATTTTTCATGTGAATTGAAGACCTATGAAGAGAGTAGAAAACTCTGCAAGAAATTTTATACCACACTTCTTAAGATAGAAGATGAAAAAGAATTGGTGATGTATAATTTCTGTTTATTTTTAAGATTTTACTTATTAATTATTAGAGGGTGCAAAAGAGAGAGGGAGAGAAAAATGGATGTGCAGGACAAATATTGATCAGCTGCCTCTCACACGCCTCCAGCCAGAGACCTGTCCCACAGCCCAGGTTTGGGCCCTGATAGGGAATTGAGCCAGTGAACTTTCAGTTTGAGGAATGATGCCCAAACTGCTGAGCCACACCTGTCAGGGCTGTCTATTTTCAGTTTCCCAGCTCACACCATACAGAGTTTATCTAGTCATTATTGGCTAAATGTTATGCTCCAGAATACTTGAGTTTCTCTGCACTGCTTACCTTGTAAAGTGACTCAGATTCAGACAGTGCTCATGCTACAGTCAGAAATACAAATGGAAATTAAATGTGAATTTTCTTTAATTCATCTAATCCATCCACAATTGAAATTTCCACAACATTGCAAATGTAAAGTCAAACATAAACCAGTGAGGACAAATCTATCTTTACAATATATGTTTATCAAGGGTAATTGCATATCTTATATTGAGTATTTTATAAAAATGGGCCTTCAGCCTCCCTGAAAAAAATCTTTATACCACCCACAAAACCAAGAAGTACAGCATTGCCACTGAGCTTGAGGTGAAAAGTAAAACTCTGTATGAATTGAAGTTGAAGGTCAATTATTTCTAAATCATATTAAATTTTAATTCATATTAGCCTCCAAATAAAACTGAACTGAATATTTCATGAATTTTATCATTCTCCCTTGCTTTGAATTTACTTGGAATTTGCAAAGAAAACCATACCAAATTTATTATTAAGCTTGCAAAAAATTAACATATCCTAACATTCCAGGTTAAGAATAAGTTTTACTATTCTCTCAATAATACAGTAACAGACATTAAGAATCACTGCTTTCTGTTCTACTCCAATTATCTACCTACGTGGTTTTCAACAACTCAAAAGCCACTGTAAAATGTATGAAACTGAAAACCATCAAGAAAACAAAGAAAAACTAGAATCCAGAAAGAAAAATATTTCATAGTCTGAAATGACCTCTTTTTTACTCCCAAAGAAAACTACATGTATGATCATGGAAGTTAACTAGACTTAATGTAGTGATCATTTTGAATATATACTAAGAGCAAATCATGACGTTGTATACATGAAACTAATATAATCTCATATGTCAATTTCCAAAAACAGAAAATTGCAATTGTCATTGATAGAAAAAAATTTTAGATGTCCTATTTATTACTGACAAGGTAAAGAGCTTACATGAAAATGTTGAATATTGGCCAGGTAAGGGAGCTAATGTGATATCTTGATATCTATCTGTTTTACATAAATAAATCATGACATTTTAGTGAGAAAAGTGTTTATAGTTTTCTTAAATGAGGGCTATAGAATTTAAATGGTGATGCCCAGATTTTCAGAAATATTTACTAAACAATATTCATACAACCATGGATTATTACAGAAACATCAACAAAGTGAAAAGTTTTGCCCATGGAACTTTGGGTTTTTAAGAAAGTCTATACCTTCACTCAATTGTTTACCCTCAACCTTTTTATAGACTTACAGAATTTCAAAATAACATCCTAAAAGATGCTGTATCCAATAACTATTTTATTGATTTTCCACTGCTAATGCATCATTTTGCAAAAGAAATCTTAAATTGGGGTGCCAAGGGCATACAGCAGTTCTAAGAATGAGTTTCAGAGTCTAAGGACCCTAACTTCCATACAGAGTAGCTTAATTGTTAAATAAAGACACCTATGAAAACCGATATTGAATGCTAAATTTTATATCTAGACTCATATATGATTTTTTTTTTCTTGGTCTAGACCAGAAAAAAAAATACATGTTGCCCGCCCCCACCCCCGCCAGGAGGGGAACTGAGCTTTTGCCATCTTCTCAAAAATGTGGGAAACAAAACTAAAACTGGGTGTGTTTTCTTTCCACCATTTTTAGGAAGATCAAGTGAGAGAATATATGTGCATATGCTCTGTAAAAATGAAAGTGCAAGATGAACATCATTTACTTTTTTACTTATGAATAACTTATAGCCAGCCATTATATACAGACACCTCATCTGATGAGTAAGGAATGTTTCCTCAAGATGCTCATTTTGCAGGAAATAACCACAGTCCTTGTGGAGCAAAAATGGACAACATTAGTAGTAATTTCATACCTCTGATGCCCAAAACCCAAAAGTAGAAATCAGACTTTGATCAGAAATCATCTTTGAGTCACACAAATCAGTTTCAAATGGAAGAGATCAATCATAAGTCTCAGACACCGCTAAACTGAGTGGTTTGATATCTCATATATGTCTTTATATTTAACATTTAATAAGTGAATATTTTTCATCACCTCTGTGTTTTTATTCTGTGTTAATTGACTTATAAAGTACCAAACACTGAGATTACATTATTTTATGATCGGAATGCAATCAGCAGGTAGTTGATCTCTATACTTTTAGTTGTTCACAAACATAACATAAAAAGAATTTTACTCACAGAATATGTTTCTTTTATGACAGAAGTTCATTCAAAGCCAACTGTCCTCTAAGACCTATTACTCTTGGATTGGATTGTCCCGTAAAGGAGACAACAATTTCTGGACATGGGAAGATAACTCACCACCCTCATTACCCTCCCTGTTCTTTATCACAAAGTAAGTCTCTAGAATAAAAACAAAGTGAGAAGGTCTATAATCAGGCATGCTGATTTATATTCCTGAAAGTGTATAGGGAAAATCCATCCATATGTATATAGGCATGTATACATACATGTATGTATACATACACATGTATACACACAATGACAGCACTTAACTTCAGTAAATGAGCACATGGAGAGACAGAGGTTTTCAACTTTATGCCTATATCCTTCATGATATTTCTTTAAGAAAACCTAGAGCTCCAAGGGATAGTTTCTATAACTAAGAAAAACCTACCACCTTAATTTAACTGTGGCACAATATCACTTATGGTGTCTGCAATAGTAAATGAATATTTTACTTCATCTATATCTTTCTATTCTATGTTAAGCAACAGGCAACAGACAAAGACTGGAAGCTGTGTGAGGATATCAGTAAGGAAGATGCAAGTTTCTGACTGTTCCAGACCCTCCAACTATGTTTGCGAAAAGAAGAATGCTGGTCATGCTACCTAATAATGAGAACAAAAAAGCAACCACAGAAGACAAGTACAATAAATTTTCCTTCTAAAAACTCAGCTTCTTGGGAGTCCTAGGTTCTCTGTTTCATTTCAGAATATCCTTGTGTGGTTTTTTTTTAATGGGCTCTACCAGTTTTCTAGCCTGTGCATGACATAAGGCTGGAATAGTGGGTACATCACAATGAGATACACCAGACCCTCCACTTCTGCCCTGTCACCTGAAGACTGACAAATTGCCATGAGTATGAGCACAAGGTGCTGGAGTAAAACAGTATGAGTGCTTCTGATGGTGATTAGGAAGCAGAGTTTTGCATGCTCTGTTCCTGCATCTCACACAGATTTAGCAAGTAGTCCTGCAAACTTCAGTCACTGCCATGCCCACTGGGGCTGGGAAGTAATGCCATCAATCATTGAAGATATTTCTTCTATGAATGGCATATGCATTTCTGTTTGATTTTTTTGCTTTTTAAGAGAGAACCAGTAGAGTATACTGGAAAGAGAATAGTATCATGAGTTAGATATGAATTTGAGATCTGCACCCAAACTAAAATATATGCTCTGGTAAGTTCAAACTACTGACTCATAGTTTTCTTATTCATAGGTAAACAACCAAACTGTTGTTGCAAAGTGACTGGACCACTAGCAGTGTATTAAAATTCCATTTGCTTGCATGTTTTCAGAATTCAGTATCATTGGTCTGAAATACCATTTCAATAAGGGTGTAGTATAATTTAAGGTGGTTTGAAGTTGTATTTTCCTAATGAATAAATACCAATAACCCTTATTCATATTTTTATGTCAACCACACATGCATTATATTAAAGTACTGATGGGAATATTTTGCCTATTTCTTTGGGTTTTTTGTTTTCTTATTATTGAGTTATAATAGTTCTCTATATGACTTGAATTCTAGTATTTTATCAGGCATGTGTTTTGTAAACATTGTCTTCCAATGTTTTATTTCATATTTTATTCTCTTAATATTGTCTTAGAACAAATTTTGAAAAATTTAGAGAGGCAGAATTCAACATTTGATAAAGTTGAATCAGTTTATTTCATCCATGATTTTAAATTTTTATATCCTAAAAAATTCTGTTTTTATTTTAAATTAAACTGAGGTTGAAATTTTTTCCTTTATGCTTTTTTCTAGAACTTTAATTTACATTAAATTCTAGACTCCATTTCATGTTAAGTTTTGTATAAGGTGAAAAGTGTCAACCGAGTTCTTTTTATGAAATTTTTGCATATAAATGACCAACTATCTCAGCACCACTTTTCAAAACACACTCTTCTATTGAATTATCATGGTACTTTTCAAAATAGTCAATTGTATGTGTCAGTTATGTGTAGATCTATTTCAAATATCTACGCCATTTCATTTATGAGTACCTATCTTATTTCACCAGTATTTTCATTACTTTATAGTAAGTCCCTTTTTATTTTTAATTTACACTTTATATTTGACATTATTTTGTTTCAGCTCCAGGTATACAGTATAGTTTATTGTAAGTCTTGATGCAATGTGAGTTCTACTTTGTCCCTTCTCAAAATTCTTTGAATGTTTTCTGCAAAAAAAAAAAGAAATTCACTTAGTAACCATTTTGACTGTAATTCTATTCCCCTGTAAAAAGAACTAGGGCTACAGGAGAAAAGGCTGATTGTAAGACAGGGGTAGGAAACGTACAAGATGAGCCTGGAGCATTGTGGTGCTAGAAAGTAGGGAAGTGCTTAAAATGATGGGGGTATGTCAAAGGGATACAGGAACCAGGTAAAAAGAATTCCTAGGGGTCATAGCAGAAACTATTTGGGCCACAAAATAAAGTATTATTGAATTATACTTAAAATATTAAAGAAATAGCCCTGGCTGGTGTAGCTCAGTGGATTGAGCGCGGGCTGAGAACCAAAGTGTCGCAGGTTCTATTCCCAGTCAGGGCACATGCCTGGGTTGCAGGCCATGACCCCCAGCAACCGCACATTGATGTTTCTCTCTTTCTCCCTCCCTTCCCTCTCTAAAAAAAATAAATAAATAAAATATTTAAAAATATTTTTTACAATATATCAAGTAAATATCTATGGATCTATAATAGTATGAGATGATTGAATAAATAAATAAGGGAATAAATTAATAAGGGACATGAGACAAATCTGTGCAGAAAAATTCCACATCACATACATACTCCTGCCTTCAGGAAATGGGGCAGAACTCCTCACTTCTTAAAAACTTAATGTTACATTATTTTCTTTATCTTTTTATTTCCGATTTTACTATTTTCTCCTCTTATTTTATTAGCTGCTTGCTTAGCTTGATTTGGGGTTTTTTTTCCTCATTCCAGTTTCTTAATTCAGAAACAATGAGGATTATTAATTTGTTCAGGTCTTCTATATCCAAACTGATTTTATAACTACATATTCTATTGATAACTACAGGGGTGTTTAAGGCTTCAGTTATCATAGATTTTTCTACTTCCCTTTTCAGTTCTATCACATTTATATTTTATTATATTTTAGAAATATTTCTAAAGCACCTTCTACCAGACATGGGTACTAATTTTAAAGATGTAATAAATACTGATGTTTTGTCTATTTGCTTCATATCCAGATATAGTTGGAAAGGACATTATACTCCTTCCTAAACCCACTCAGTTTCCTCTATATGCATAACTCTTATCTTGAAGTTTATGCTTATCTTTGTTCATGATTTTATATTTGAGTACATAGTGAAAACTCTTTATATATGAGTGAATACTTGAGTGAAAACTCTTGTATTTTCTATGACTACATATATACCACTATATACTGATTTATATATGACATATTTGTGAATGAACAATAGCAAAGTGGAAGTATACATAAATGACATCACCACTGTGTACATTCTGCACTGGAATTTTATTCACCAATATGTCTTCCAGCTTCCACCCATATTGAGCCAAGTGAATTGAGAACTTCATTTGAATGTCAGTTGAGAGTTCCATTGTATGACATACAAGACAGCTCTCTCATCTATGTCTCTGCTCTGGGACATCTGAAGTGTTTCTCACTTATCTCCTCCAATAATGCTGTAATAAACATCTCTGTCAACTAGTGGAATGGCCTGTTCATATAATTACCATTTTGTACATTGAAGTTGTCTTTTTTAATTCCATTGAACAAGTTACTTAAAAATTCTGAGTATAGTTCTTTTATTGTTTCCATTTCATGTAATGCAAAGAATTATTCAACTCTTTGGTGTTTTTTTGTTGTGTGTGTACTTTCTTTACCTTTTGATGTGAAATATAGACACAGAAACTTGCAAAATAGTACAGAAAAATCACACGTATCTTTACACCAAAATTTCCACAAAGGTAATATCTTATGTAGCTTTGAGCATTTGTAAAATGACTTACAGGTAAATGTACCTCAATTTAAAAACCAGGAAATTGATATTGGTGCCATCATGGAACCATATTTAGATTTCACCAATTTTGTCTCTTTTTAAAATTTTTAATTGTGGTCAACTACACATAATATAAAATTCATCACATTTGCTACTTTTAAGTATGTAGTTACCTATATTTGCTACCTTTCTGTAATGTTCCCTATACTCACATTCTTGCTCAACAGATCTTCATAATTTTATTTTGCTAGACTGAAACTCTATACCCACATTAAATGATAGTTCCTCATTTCCCCTCCCCAACATCCCTGGAGACCAACATTCCACATTCTTTCTTTCTGAATTTGACTACTATAGATACTTCATGTAAGTAGGTAAATAATAATATTTCTCTGTTTGTGACTGGTATATTTCACATAACATAATGTTGTTGAGTTTTATCCACATTGCAGCATGTGTCAGAATTTCTTTCTTATTTAAAGCTGAATAATAATTTATTGTACTTACACACCCCTTTTCACCTATACGTTTATTGACAAATGGACACCTGGGTTGCCTCCAGTTCTTGGCTAATATGTCCAATGTTACTGTGAACATGGTGTATGAACGTCTACTCAAGACTGTTGTTCAATTCCTGTAGAGATGTATCCATAAAGGAATTGCTGACTCATAAGGTAGTTCTGTTTTTATTATTTTGAGGAACATCATACTGTTTTTCATACCAGCTACACTACCATATATTCCATCAACAGTGCACAATGGTTCCGAACTCTCCACACCCTTGCCAACACTCATTACGTTGTGGGTTTCTTGTTTTGTTTGTCTCCTTTTTACTTTTTTCCAGTCTTATTGAGTAATAATGGACATGCCAAACTGTGAAAGCTTGAGGTGTATAGAATGATTTGACCTATACCGAAAATGATTACTACAGTCAGTTTTGGTGGCATCCATCATCACATACAGATACAAAAAAAAGAAAAGAAAAAAGCAAATGACTTTTTCCTTGTGATGATTATTCTGTTTTTTCATTTTTTATTGTTGTTCAAGTACAGTTTTCTGCCTCTTCCCCCCACCCAGCCCAACACGCCAGCCCGCCCACCTCCCTCCCCTGTTTCCACCCCTCTTGTTATTGTCCATATGTCCTTTATAATTGCTCCTGCAAACCCTTCGTCCTTTTCCCCTGAAATTCTCTCCCCTCTTCCCTCTGGTTACTGTCAGATTGTTCTTAATTTTGATGTCTCTGGTTATATTTTGCTTGCTTTTTTCTTTTGTTGGTTAGGTTCCAGTTAAAGGTGAGATCATATGGTATTTGTCTTTCACTGCCTGGCTTATTTCACTTCGCATAATGCTTTCCAGTTCCATTCACGCTGTTGCAAAGATTATTCTTAAGATCAACTCTGTTAACAACTTTGAAATACACCATATAACAATGTCAATTATAGTTATTATGTTGTACATAGATTTCTAGTACCTATTTACCTTATAATTCTAAGGTTGCACCTCCTAATTACATTCATCCAAGTTTTTCATCCCCACCCTCAGCCCCCCCTTTTTATTGTAGCCATCAGAATGGTGTGAGAGAATACCTTACTGTAGCTTTGATTTGCACATCCTCAGTGATTACTGATGTTAAGCATCTTTTCATATGCCTATTAACTGTGTGTGTGTGTGTGTGTATATATATATATATACATATACATGTATATATATATACATATATATATATATATATATATATATGTACATGCAGTTACACACACAAACACACATACACACACACATCCCTTTGGGAACTGCCTGTCCCAGTTCTCTTCTAATCT